CCTGACTGGGAAAGTCGCTATAGGGAGCTTTGTGGTGAAAGCATCCAATCCCATCAAACTAAGACTGAAAACACATTATCACTCTTACCTTCTGCCAAATTGTGTTCTTGCACCGATTTCCTAGATGCCAAAGAAAATTCCTAATACATACCTGTCTAATAATCTGAAAAAAGGGGCTGCATTGATCTGATTTAGAAATATTGAGAAGACTTTCCAGGGACAGTGACGATTGTAAGCTTTTGCATCAACACAAGGAAGGTGGATTCTCTTCAAAGAAAGATGCTACTCTGCTAGGAATTCAACCAAAATGTGAATGGTAAGAAGATGGAAAATGAAAGTTGGAAACAGCTGTTCTCATACCTTCTCTCAGCCCATCTTAATCTGCTGTAGATTAGGAATCCTAAGCAAAGTCAGTGACTCTCACTCTTTCCCACCCCCAAGCTATTTGTCCCTCTGTGGCATCCCTCATTATTCTCCCTTGGAGCCTGTGCCCTCATTCAACTTGCAGCTCTACAGGCCTCCTGAGGATGGCAGAGAGGATGGAACAATTGGTTAAAAGCTTATAACAAAACTAACCCTTGCAATTGCATCCTTAGCAATTAACTGTGTTTTTATCTGCACTCTTCTTGTAGCAGACAAAAGCAAATGGCAAGAAAACAAGCTAATTTGAGAGATGTCTAAAAAGAAAAGAAAAGAAAAACCCTTCAGGAGAGGAGCATGGCAGGAAGGAGAGTGTTGACAGCCCCAGACCAGCATAATGACAGAGTGGAGGGTTTGGCCCTGAGGTTGCTCATAGATCTTGAGTGTAGGTGAGCATTAGGCCTGTGTTCATTAAGTTATATTTACTGAGGTAGGGAAGTGGTCTCAGAGTTTAGAAAGATTTTAGACAGGAATGATTTTCTTGCATTCTTAGTTAACCAAAGTCCTTTCCCTGCTACTTTTCTAAAATTTCTACTCCTCCTATTTTTTACCAGTATTTTGTACCAGTGTTAACAAAACCCAAAACCCTCCAAGAATGGCATTTTAGGGTTCATGACAGAGGGTTAGTAGATGAACACTGTCCTCCTAAAACTAGTTCAAATGTTCTCTCTTCCTGTCCCTAATTCTCTCTCTCTCTGCTAGACATCACTAGAGAACGAACATTGCTGCTGCTTTCTCTAATGTGACAGATAGTAACGATAGTTCTCAGTTCTCTGTTCTGACAGTCAAAAGAACCCTTGGAGCCGAAGACAGAAAGGAAGGGAAATAAATCTTATTTAGGTGCTGCCAACACTATGAATTTTATTAAAGGCCGTTGACTCTGTCCACCCGAAAAGCCTTCCACTGGCAGCTGAGACAGAGTCATTGAGTAAAAGGCTTTGATACCATTCCCTTCTTTGTGGAGGAAAACTTTGCTGTCAGACTCTGCAGGTTTAATTAACACGTTACCTTGAATGGCTGTGAGTTGTTGTTTTCTCCTTCTCTTAATATAACACCAAGCTGGACAATTAACTTCTTAGGGGAAAAATGTTTAAAGTAGTAGGTAGAGTATACAGGGCAGCTTTGTCTATGGGTGAATATGCAAGACCTGCCTGCAAATCCTTGAGAATTTCAAATGTGCTGGTATTTATAGATTTTTTTTTTTTTTTTAAGATATAGGCTTCTAGGGGCCGGCCTGGTGACATAGTGGTTAAGTTCACGAGCTCCGCTTCGGCGGCCCGGGATTCGCAGGTTCGGATCTTGGGCCTGGACCTATGTACCGCTTATCAAGCCATGCTGTGGTGGACGTCCCACATATAAAGTAGAGGAAGATGGGCATGGATGTTAGCCCAGGGACAATCTTCCTTAGCAAAAAAAGAGGAGGATTGACAACATATGTTAGCTCAGGGTTAATCTTCCTTAACAACAACAACAAAAATACCTACATATAGTCTTCTAGCTATGGATCCATGGAAGCAAAACATATTCCTCTGATAAATTACCTTTGCCCATTCACTGGGAAACCTGGGTACTTTGCTAGGTAGATTCATCCTTAGGGGATTTGCATGGTGCAAAATCGATAGTTTTTTTCCTTGATCATCTACTCTGTGCTAGGCACTGTATAGATATAGAAGGATGGGATTCTGGGCATATAAAGGCTTTGTGATCTCATCAAAGAGGGAGGGAGTCATCTCAGATATTTTAGAAATAGATAGGAAGGAATTTCTGCCTTACATTAGTAAGTAGAAGGCTGTCTTCAAAGGCTACTAAGAAAATTAAATGTAAGTATGTGGCCTGTAGTTTGATAGCATCTTTTATTGTACCATACTTCTTTGGAAACGAGGCCATTGGGAATTTTAGTGTCTAGGAGAGGGTTCATAGAGAAGGTGGCCGGTGATCTGGTCCTAAAAAGAAGACTGCGTTGAGGTAGGCAAGTCTTGAAGCCACCTCTGCCAGAGTGGGTAGCATCAGTGAAGGCATGGCAGGGGTAGTGTGCCTAGGTATGAATGGGAAGTTGAGAAGGTGAGTCCACCAACACCAAAGGCTACCTTTTGAGAGAGGAAACTGAAAAAGATATCATTGAGCTGAATAAGAGAGGCTTGGTTTATTGGATTGCTTGGTATACCTACTGTTTGAGGGCCCTCTGGATGCTCACAAATAACAAAGCAGCCCCTTGAAGAGGATAAAAACAAATATCATGGGACATACCTGACTGGTCCACAGATTCTGAGTCCAAGCCTAGGGGGATCAATTAAAAAAAGCATAGAGGAAAAAAAACACTGACGCTAACACCCAGCAGTGCCTCACAGAGATGAATTCTGTGTGGGAGCATGGATGGCAATCCCTTGGTGTAGCTGTGTGAGCCCTCAGAATTTATATGTGATTTTCAGGATATATGTGAGTCCGGCCTTCACACAGAGAATTATTATTATTTCAAACCACCCTGATTCTGTTACATTTGCATAAATCTTTGTATGTAAATATAACATTTATTTATATGTAGACGTAGGGACACACAATGGTATGAAAACTCTGTTCCCTTAAAGCTCACAGAAATAAGTGCAGCTCTGGGTTTAAAAAAAGCCAGAGCAAGGGGAGAGGCAGAAGCAGACACTCCTGGATCCCAGAGCAGTACTTGCTGTTGTTATACAAGTCTGCATATTAAAATGCAAGGTATTCAAGACATGCTGGGAAACAAGAGGAAGGATCTACGTACTCTGGCTGCTTGGGTTCTGCATCAAGAGGGAAGGAGTTGTCTCATCCTCTGTTATCTCTGTGAGGAGAACTGTCTCCTCATCTCTCCTTGGCACTTTTAGAATGAATCAAGCATGAAATGTACCCAGGAAAGCTTTTTCCCCCAGGCATGATGGGGCAGAGAAAAATAATAAGACTTGAAAGAAAAAGCCACAGATTCTCCTTGGCCAGGTGCCCAAATACGGTGTAGTTGGAGCCAATCGACCTGCTTGCTTTCATAGCCAGATATTTCAGCTTTATTTTGGCTTAAGAATGTGTTTTGATCCAGTGGACACCATGCCACTGCAAGCTCTTCCAAGAGTCAGTAAGTACTCACTTGAGCTGACTTGTTCCTTGGATGTGCCTGGTGCATCTGCAGCTTTGGTGAGTCACTGGGTGGGTCATTTGACCCTTCACTGAGTGCTGGGGCTGGAGGGAGGACAAGGCTGGACAATCATGGTACTCGGTACAGCGTGACTCACCATCCATTCACTGTGGGATTTGGCAGATACGATGGTGAGAGATTGGGGTGTGAGTGGGTTACAGACCAGGCACAGAGCAGAAAGATGTTCCAAATGGTATTTTTCAAATCAGTAGCCAAATGCCCATGGGAACCAGGATGCCTAGAGCAATAAGAATCTCTGGGCTGCCAACAGAGGACGCTTCTAGGGGCAGAAGAGGGTTCCATGGTGCTGTGAAGATTATTGGAGAGGAGCAGAAGTGTGGGGCAAACCAAGATGAAGAACAAGCCCTAAGAAAAGAAAGACATTTGCAGAGGATGGAGTATGTAGAGGGTTAGACCCTGTGTCATGAGCAGTATGTCTTTGCAGTTGCCTTTGGAGAATACTGAAGCAGTGTAGCAAATGAACTTGAAATCTTACCAGCTGTATAACCATCTGTAAAATGGCCATGGTAACTTCATATATTGCAGGAATAGTGTGTGGATTAAATGAAATAACGTATGAGAAACATTTGTATCATAGTAAGAGCTTAGTCCTTGTGGGCTGTTGTTATAGCCTGAAATTCCTCTCTGGTAACTATTAAAAAGACCAACACTGGCTCCTCTTGCCTGCAGCACTAATTCTGGTTGTCTCAACTTTTTCCAATTGCCCTCAACATTTTCATCTAAATCTATTTGGATAAGCCAGGCTTATTCATATCCTATATGAATATGGACAGATACACATTCCTGTCCTTATGTATCTTACCACTTTGACCTATGTTGTTCCCTTTGTGAGTAATGACTGCCCCATTTTTGTCAGTTTGAATACTGTCATTCATTTGGATCCCAGCTGAATCCCCATACATCTGTGAAGCATCCCTGATTGACTTCTGAGTCTCCTTCTTTGCATTCATTTATCACTGGTGGCCTCAAGCATTTCTTGTTATTTTAGTCAGATTCAGGTTATACTATCTGCTTTTCAAGAGCCAAGTCTAGATTTTGCATTTCTTTGTATCCCACACAATGATCTGCATATGCTAGGTCAAGTGGTACAGCTGACTTTGTCACCAGGCAGGGCAGGGTGTGAATCCCTGTTTGTTCTAATATTTAGTGGGCATGTGGTTTCCAACAAATCACTTAATCTTCCTCAACCTTAATTTCCTCAACTGTAAAATGGGGATATTAATATCTGCCTTGCAGAATGTATGTGAGGAGGAGAGATGATATATAGAACACTCACTTGGCATGTGATGGGTGCTCAATAAATAGTAGGTAATATTATTATTATTACTGACCCAGTGAACTGATGTTTGTGCATTCGATGTATTATAGGATCACAGTGCTGAATAATTTCTCTTCTCTACAGTTATACAGCTCTGCTGAATTTGGAAGAAGGTGGCAGCTTATCCAGGAAGGAGTCGTACCAAACAGGTTCTACTGGTAAGTTTCACTTTATTTTGTAGCATATTAAGATATCACCTAGTAAATGAGCATGGGATTCTTTTTCTCACCCAGAGCTCTCACATGAGGTCTGTTCTTATTGGAATATGCCCACGTCCTCCAGGGCAGGATGTAACATTAGAGTAGTAAACATTTTAAGGGAATGTTAAAGCAGTGTCACAAATTATTTAATGAACCCAAAATAGATACTTGAGATTAGTGAACAGCAAGGGCTTTGTAACTGATGTTTTGTTATATTTTGATGAGACTTGTGAGACAGACACTTAAAAAACATTTTAATAGTGATTTTTATTACTAACAGCATTATACACACATATATTACATGTTCAAATAAAGGTTTTCAGTGTAAATAAGTAGATATTCTTTAGTCTAAAAGTGGATCTTCCTCCCGTTCCTGATTTCGAGGCTTCTAGACCTTCTCCTCTTCATATGGGACACAACCAATGTTCTTAGTTCCTTACTTATCCTGCCATATATGTTCTATGAATTACAAAACATATATATATATATATGCTTAGTCAACTTGAGCTACTATAAAAAAATACCATAGACTGGGTGGCTTAAACAACACATTTATTTCTCACAGTTCCAGAGGCAAGGAAACCCAAGCTCAAGGTGCTGGCAGATTCAGCTCCTGGTGAAGACCAGGATATTTCAGAGGGCTGCCTTCTTGCGGTGTCCTCACATGGGGGGGGCAGGGTGGGGGTGGAGGGAGAGGAGCAGCAAAAGAAAGGAGACAAAGAAAGTAATATTCTTTTGTGTGTGTGTGTTTTTTTTTTACCAACTGAGCCCATCCCCCTGATTAAACTAGAGGTGGCCACCCTCCATGGGTGTGGGTGGCTACAATTGAAAAGAAGGGGAATAACACAATTCCTTTTGGCTTTTGAGTTTCCAAGGGCCTAGATCCTGGTAAACTAAGAAGAAATACGAAGCACTCTAGTGTAATTTTGACATTCGTTATCAATCACTTTTCAATTTACAACCTAACCCCTGCCAAAAGATATGACTCTACCTGACCCTAATTTATGTAATCTGCCTGTGGAAAAGACATTTAGGTTGTTTCCAGACTTTTCCTAGTATAAAAAGTGCTATAAAGAACTAGCTCAGGTAGAGTTTAAATATCCCTCGTTCACATCATTCAGAATCATTGGGGCAGTGACCTTTTAGAAGCCAATGAGCTCCCTGCAACTATGACAATAAAAGACGTCTCCCCTACATTCCTCCTAAAATCACACTGCCTCTCATCAGCCTTTGGACTTACATGCTCCCAGTTGCCCCCCGCCCCCACCCCAATTCTCTCACTTTGAAGAGGAATGCATTTTTATCTTTCTCATTTTCAAACACTGCCCTAAAACCCCTGTGGGAGTTGAAAGCCAGAGAACTGCATTAGAGAAATCTCTTAAAATGCTGGTGAAACTGCCTGAGAAAGTGAAAGAGAAGTCATTTGCAAATAAACTGGTTCAAAGATAACACATAGAGACTTCTGTGTGGAGTGGTACCTTTTCCCCCATCATAAGGAGACATTTATAACTACAGAAGGTTTGATTTTTTTAAAATTTTTTATTGATGTCATAATAGTTTATAACATTGCGAGATTCCAGTTGTACATTATTATTTGTCAGTCACCATATAAATATGCCCCTTCACCCCTTGTGCCCACCCCCCAACTCCCTTCCCCCTGGTAACCACCAAACTGTTCTCTCTGTTCGTGTGTTAGTTTATATTCCACATATGAGTGAAGTCATACAGTGTTTGTCTTTCTCTGTCTGGCTTATTTCACTTAACATAATACCCTCCAGATCCATCCATGTTGTTGCAAATGGGACGATTTTGTCTTTTTTTATGGCTGAGTGGTATTCCATTGTATATATATACCACAGCTTCTTTATCCAATTGTCTGTTGATGGACACTTGGGTTGCTTCCACTTCTTGGCTATAGTGAATAATGCTGCAATGAACATAGGGGTGCATAAGCCTCTTTGGATTGTTGATTTCAAGTTCTTTGGATAAATACCCAGAAGTGGGATAGCTGGATCATAAGGTATTTCTATTTTTAATTTTTTCAGGAGTCTCCATACCGTTTTCCATAGAGGCTGCACCAGTTTGCATTCCCACGAGCAGTGAATGAGGGTTCCCTTTTCTCCACATCCTCTCCAATATTTGTTATTTTTTGTCTTGGTGATTATAGCCATTCTCACAGGTGTAAGGTGATATCTTAGTGTAGTTTTGATTTGCATTTCCCTGATGATTAGTGATGTTGAACATCTTTTCATATGCCTATTGGTCATCTGTATATCTTCCTTGGAAAAATGTCTGTTCATATCCTCTGCCCATTTTTTGATTGGGTTATTTTGTTGTTGTTGTTCAGAGGTGTGAGTTCCTTTTATATTATGGAGATTAACCCCTTGTCAGATATATGGTTTGCAACTATTTTCTCCCAGTTGGTGTGTTGTCTTTTCATTTTTATCCTAGTTTCGTTTGCCTTGCAGCTCTTTAGTCTGATCAAGTCCCACTTGTTATATAACTACAGAAGGTTTTTGTTGCACAGAAGCTATTCAACTCTTTCCCACTTCTGCTCCCGCTCAGGAGTGGCTTGAGCCTTGCTTTTGGTGTCCAAATTAGCTTCTTCCCTTCCCTGGGAATTCAACTCTAGCTACCACTGAGTCTCCCTTCTCTGAGTCTCCCTTCTCTGATCAGCACTTCTCTTCCTCTTTTACTCAACGTGTCCCTTATTCATGAGAAACCTTGCACCTCTATATGTTTTGCCTGTAATTTATAAAGTCACTTTTTGGAAGGAGAGTCCATGTCTTTTTTTTTTTTTTTTCCATTCTCTCTTTTACTTGGTGTTATATGTGCATAGAAATGCCTCAGAAAATAAATAAATGAAAGACTAAGATAAATTTATGTGGTCCTCCTAAGTTAACCTGGAAATGGAGTTGATGAAAAAGTGTGAGGGACAAATCTTTCCTCAAGTCCTGCTTCTGAGTGACTGAAAATATCTGCAGATGGACCCAGCAATAGAAGGTGGAAAGTTGCAATTCACAGAGAACTAGATGGAAGTTTGTTCCTACCAACAGAAACAAAGAAAAGCCTTGACTAGGATGGACAAACGATGGACAAAGAAAAAGAATTGAGATGAGAATACTTCCCTTGTAAGTGATACATGGTACACAGTGTTTTCTAGCTCACTGGGAGTCATATTTACATCATTGCTTTGGCTGGTGCTAATTGCAATCCGTTCTTATCTATTCTTTGAATGGAGGTCTTCTCTGTGAAAGCCTGATTAGCAAAGCCCTTGTAACCAAATGTGATAATATTATCTTTATAAAAACCTTACACATGATTGTGTATGAATTCTAATTAATCTGTCTGTTAAGTAAAATAAATAATACCTCTCCTTCCACCTTTGGGAACAGAGAAACACATCTTCTCTATTCAAGCCCTAACATTGTAATAAGCATTATTCAAACTTAAGCTGTTTAATCCTCATAACAATTTTATGATGTAAGCCTTACATTATCATCATTAACAGATGGGGAACCCACGGCATGGAGAGGTTGAGTAATTTAGCCAAGATCACACACCTGGAAATTGGCCGAGCCAGTATTCAAACGCAAGCAGTCTGGCTCCAATATCCATGCTCAACTGAATCAGTGGACTCGGTTGCCTCTACCTCATGGCCTTTTTTCTGGGCTGGGGCTGTGAGCCTTGGAAATCCAGCCCATTCAGGCATGTGAGTGGAGAAAACCCAAAGCTCTTTTGGCCACTGTGCCTGCATGTGTAGCTCTCCAACTGGGCTTATCAAATGGCCCCCATGGGTTCTTTAAGCTTGGTTGGTTTTTCCAGAGAAGGCATGAGACCTTGTAAATTGCAGAGCGCACATGACTGTTGATGAAAATCTCTTGGTCTCTGGCCACATGGTCTGTATTTTCTGACTCTGAGAAACTTCCCGAGGCTGGCAGAAAAGATGTCAACCAAAGCAATGTTTTTTAGACTCGTTCCTGGAAACCAGTTGCTTCAAATTACATGGGAACTACGGGGCTATCTAGGATTATTCAGTAAGCTTAATTAAAAGAAGCTGCCTTTAATCATTTCTTCTTGGAGCCTGGCTATGGGGGTGTGGAGCAACATCAAATTAAGTGACCCTGGGTAATAACATAGCATTTCCCATAGAGAAAAATGAAGATGAATTTCTGTCTTTTCCTCATCACCTGATACACTCGGGAAATATCTTTACATTGAGTGGCAATAGTAATGCCACCCCTGGAAGTAATCTATGGCAATTGTAAAATAGTTATGGACTGTAAGGGCCTATTTTTATGTTATCACAGTGGTTGCTCTTAGTACTACCATAGCTAACATAAATATGAACTTTCCTCCAAGGAGTTCACATTGCTTCTAAAAACAATTTACATGTATAAGGCATCTTATAAATCACATCTTAGCACAATATTGCCCTTAATAGAATAGATGTCCTTTTTATTTAACAAACTGTGATAGCAGTCTTGGTCTTTACTATGTCGCATATCAATTATATTGGGAGGCAGTGCAGTCTGGAGATTAAGGGGCTCAGAGATACTGAGGCGTGAGTTCTAGCTTTGCCATTTGCTAAGTAAGGAATCATGGGGAAGTTACTTAACTTTTCCGTGCCTCAGTTTTTTCCTCTGTAAAGTAGAGATAATTAATACCTACTGCATTAACTGAGATGTTTCTTGTGAATTGATTACATGCCTGGCACCTAAGAATGGTATTAAGTGCCCACTGACTAGTAGTAATAATATTATGAATAGTGGCTGACTTTCTGCAGCTATTAGTTTTGTGTTCCTCTGTGTTGGCTTCATTCTCAGATTGGCTTTCCCCACTTGTAGCAATGATGAACATCATTAGCTTTAGTCTTATATTCTAACAGTTTAGAAGCCCCATCAAACCAGTCTGCCTCTTTCCTTGTATTTACAGGGATTGAATCTGAGTGGTCTGGC